GTGGGACTCCTACCAAAGAAACTTTTATAGGGCATTTATTTGAATCAGAAACTTTATCATCGATTGCTATACTAGTTGAAGCAGAAACAAGCATCTAAATAATAAATATTAAACCATTAATTTTTAAATTAATAATTTTAAGTAATAGATTAAAAATTTATATACTTTTAATCTCTTGCTCCCAGCATAACTTCCCGGTACAATCTTTCCACCAACAGAGTAATATTCATCTCTTTTAAAAATTGCTTGCGAATCAGGGTCACGATCATCAGGATTGATTGGTATAGGTAAAATCATTTCCATTTCATAACCTTCAGATCCTACCGGGTAGGCACCTATAGCCCACATTGAGAATGTTCTCGCATCCTCTTTTTTATTTCGTCGAACATGTTTAATTCTAACAATCGTATCCGCATAACAAGGCATTATTATCTTTTGTATTAAAAATTTTAAACGGCGGTAATATTATAATTTTAATTCTCATGCATGAGATATGAAAGAGTTTCCGTTTCTCGGAAATGAAACATTTATATATTCAAAATAATTTTATGTAATCATTTTGATGAATATGATTCGAAAAAAAATTTTTTTTTTTGTGATTTACACATCTCTATGCCAAAGCAGGACAACTTATGTCTAAATTTGAAGAATAATAGAAATTTATTGACAATGTACTGAAGTCAATAATTTTAAGCTTAGATGCACTCTTTCATGTTAATGTAAAAGATCAGTTCTTAATCACGTAGTTGTGTAACGATTAATTTTCATGACTTCACTCTTTATAACTATGTATCTAACCAAATTGGCTGTCAGTATGAAATGGCGTGCATAATTGACATGAGCTAGCGTGATAGTGATAGAATGTCTATAATGCATCACATTAGATTTAATAGAGGAAGAATTCAGATCTCATTGTAGTAACGTAAAAAATAATAGTAATCTTAGCCTTTTTGAATCACCCCATGACCAAAATATTGACAGGAACTACTGTACCCTCCCATTCGTTACAGTAAGCACAGCGATAATCATTAAACAAGGTAAAACCTGTAAGGTGTACAAATTTAGAAGCCCTGCATAATAATCTACACCAAATTAATAGATGATTTTCGAAAACATTGAATAGTACGTACTCAACATGTATTTTCTAGTCGTATTGAACTTGGATACTACGGTATAAGGTAGAATAATAATACTGATACTCTTAGGGATTGATTTTTCAAATTTAATGAACAGATTAGTTATTATGAACAGATTAGTTATTCGAATATTACGTACGTACTGCGCAAATCATTTATTCGTTTCAAATATCGATATGAATCACATCTTTTTTTATATAACATTTAAGTGATTTTAAAATGTTATAATTTAATAAGGGTAAATAGTACCGTACGTACGTACGTACAGTACAATACATTGCCAACATATAAATATTCAAAATTCTTAATTTTTTTTGTTGTTTTTAAAGAAATTTCTAAATATTCGGGATTTATCCGTAATTTTGTAGATCATATCCAGAACTGTAAATTTCGAATATTCATTGAAAAGTAGCCTTTTTGGATATCTTTAGAAGCGCCATATCGATATATATAATTTTTTCTTAGATTAATTTTACGTATTAATGTGATTTAATTTTAAAAATAGAAATTTCTTTTCCTTGTTAATATTACAAATAAATAAATATGAATGAGTCAAATTGATCTAAACTTTCCCAAAAATCTCTTTCCAATCCAAAACAAATTCCAAATTTCAACTTATGACAAAGTCGACCCGAATCCCATGTCCAAATCCAAATTCCAAATTATGAAGGTTTTGTATATCTAAGTATTTGACTGTGCTGTCTGAAATTCTATCAACAAAGATTATGTATATTTATTCCCGTGCAACATTAGAGAATGAAACTTGAGAAGCCTGCGATTTAAATTAAGTTAGAAATCAGATCTTCATTATGACATTATGCATACAAATTTCCAATCAAGATTTCTCATGATCATAATGCTGAACTTATGTCCAATAAAGTGTAATGTGCTGGGAAAATCTTTTGACTTTAAACAAGATTTGATCTGGAATTTTTCCAAACAAAATATTGCACAAGGGGATCATTCTCATAACAGAAGGCCGGCTAAAGTGGCTTTGCTAATTTTCTGAGTAATATCAACCCAAAAAGGCAATAACCATTCAGAGTACAAATTTTATCATTTGACATTGATTGTGAACACATGCGAAAGAGGAAAAACGGAAATCCAGAAAATTACGCAGTTCAGATAAACTTTTATGCACTAATTCAAAATAACAGGAATAAAATTTTACATATATAATAGCGATAGCCATTAATTTGTTTTTACGTATATCCTTTGATGATGCAAACCCTAAATTTCTATCTTCATTAGTTTATTTTTTATATTAAATTTCCTTTTTTCTTCATCCAAGTTTATCGTTAACGTTAAAATATTTAAAGTAGATAAAGCGCGTGACATATTCAGATTTCCAAAATAGTAAAGTAATTATTTTCAAATCTAGTAACTGGTTTATCCGATCTCTCGTAAAATACGGATAAATACACCACCTCTCTAGAGTTGGATTACAATTAGGTAAAATTGCTTCTCCGATATTTTTCATTAATAATCCAAAATGGACTAAGACTACAGTTTCTTGTGTTTCTTGTCCTTTTTGTTTTCTTTTCGGACTGATTTATTCCGCTTTAGCCTACCGATCTTTTGATCTATTGCACTTCCGATTGGTTATTCTACTATTTATATTGTTTGATTGGTTTATAAAAAGTATAAATAACTTAACTTTGCTCAAGAGAAATTGTAAAAAAAATTTATATATTACTTAAATTTATAGGTATGGTGTAATAATGTTTTTAATGAAATATTTATCAAAATTTTATTAACATGGTCTCTCCATATAAGATGGCTAACAATAATGGTCCAGCTGCTTCGAATTCTCCAAGGAGACCAATGTTTTCGTATATATACAGCGAATCAGTAAATATTACTGCTGATAATCAAGGTTTCCGCTATCCTTATTCAATCAAAAATAGGGACAATATTCTCAAGTCTGATGTGGATAATGATTTAAAGGCTACAATAGACCAAAGAAAGAGTCATTGTCGTTTACAGAAAGTCACTTTTACTTTTGTTCCGAGTAGAAATGATAATTACCGTACAGTAACTTTTAATGGTAGTGTTGATGAGTTGCCTCTTGAAAAAAATAAATTGAATGATTTCAAATATTGTTATGAAACTAAAAATGGCAATATATCGCAGCGTACAGTGAATGTTGAACGTGATTTTAGAAGAAGTGATGCCCCTTGTAACCAAGAAAGAACGTATGTTTTATACAGTAGTTCTGACATCGCCGTGGAGGGATTAGTTGGAATCCTAAAAATAGATTATCATTTTGAATATTTTCATAGAAATGCCGCGTCATAGACAAACCTTTTTGATGAGATATATATTTTGCTACGTGTCATTTTCAGATTTTGCTAACTGAAAATTGACGTTATACCAATTTTTCTTAATTACACGGATTGAAGTTAGATTTTAATACAAATTTATCATACATATTTTATTTTATTTTAATTATATTTTTATCATATATATTTTATTTTATTTAATTATGTTCTATCATATTTTATTATACCATATTTATTATATTTTATTATAACATTAATAAATTACACATTATACATTTATAAAGGTAAAAAGAATGTATTATATTTAGGGATGGCCACTGCGCATTATTTATTGTGCTGCCTGCGCAGAATTTTTGAGAGACTGCGCAGTAGGGCTGTTAATTGGAGTATTATACTCCGGAGAAATTAAGGAGCATAAGCCACATTATGCCGGCGTGGTTTAAGCAAAACACCACCTCGAATTGTTAATTTTATCATATGGGCGGAAATCTTCAATTTTGTGATTAGTTTGTGATTAGATAAGTTGAATGATGAGATTAAATAGAATTT